CCATCAAAACGCAGTCATGCAGAGGAAGAAACATCCGAAGGGACACCGGAACCGATTCCATCCATGCCGTCAGGAGTTTTGCCAGTAACATCTCAAGAAGTGACTACGACCAAAGTGGTTCCTAAAGAATCTGGACCGATGTTTTCAGCACTAAGTTCGTCAATCCAGAATCAAATCAAGAAAATCCATCAGAACTTAGGACACCCAGATGTTCGAACGCTCCAACTTGCACTGAAACGCTATGGATGGCCAGAGCACCAGGTCCGTAGCTGCCAAGATTTTGTGTGTCCCGTGTGCTTTGAACAGCAGCAGCCCAAAATTGCAAGGCCAGCTCAACTGAAACCACCCAGAGATTTCAACGACCATGTGTCTCTTGATGCAGCCGAATGGGAGGACAGGCAGGGCCGTAAATTTGGATTTTACCACTTCATCGATTCTGCAACGAATTTTCATGTGGCAATTCCATATCATCAACAAACCACAGAAAGCTTAATCGATGCCTTCAACACTGCGTGGATCAGATGGGCGGGACCACCAAAATCTTTAATGTTTGACAGGGCCACTGAAGCCAACAGCGAAAAGTTCTCTCGATTTCTCCAAGAAATGGCAATTACCAGTTATGTGATCCCAACTGATGCTCACTGGCAGCTAGGAAGGGCGGAAAGACATGGTGCCATTATGAAACATATGATCTCAAAGTATCATGAAGAACATCCCATATCCAATCATGAAGAGTTTGAACAGTGTCTCATTCAACTATGCAATGCGAAGAATGCACTTTCTCGACATGAGGGTTTTACCCCGGAAATGTGGGTGCTAGGAAAAATGAAACCACTCCCAGGCAGTAATTCCAATGTATTTCTCGATAGCGCAAGCTTTGCTGGACTTGAAGATCAGTCCACTGAGGGCAGCCGCTTCCAGAGCATGTTAGCGAAACGAGAGACAGCTCGGATTGCGTTCATCAAAGCCGACCACAGTGCAGCCGTCAGAAAGGCCATTCATGCCCGGTCGCGACCAGACCGTGTACATTTTCAGGTAGGTGACATGGTGATGTATTGGAAATCAGGAAAAGGAGTAGAAGAAGGTGCCTGGCATGGGCCGGCCAAAATACTCATGATCGAAGGTCGCAACTTGGTGTGGATCAGCCACTTGACAAAACTGTTCCGCTGCGCCCCTGAACATGTCCGAAAACTGTCGGCAGATGAAGCTTCTGGAATATCCCAGGCTGAGTTGCAGTCTTTCCAATTGCCTGAGCGTAGTGGTACTGGAGTGTTTCAATTTCGAGAGCTGTCCCAGCAATGTCCACCTCCACAATTTTCCACACCACAACATGTGCCTGTCACAGCAGACCCAGATGTAATTGTCGAGGACTCATCAAATACTAATCCCATGCAACCTCATCCAATCCTTAACCCAAATAATCCTCCCGATGTAATCCCTTCACATCCGCCATCCTCAGTAGGACAGCCTGATGCCGAACCTATATGCCCGAATAATGATCAATTATCTCCAAACGAAACAAATGAAAGTTCGATGGACCCTGCAGTGATCACACCAATCCCTGATGACAGTGATCAAGATCTAGTTGCAGTGACCCCTCAACATGATTTTTGGGAAATACAAGAAGGATGGTTAATTAGACACCATGTGACTCCCCGACTTCGTATGTTCTTTCCATCAGATGCATGGAAGTGCCCAGTACCGCTGGATGTTATCCAAAATCAGAGGCATACGGAAGGGAGCTACATCACGGGGGGACAATTTCAAAAGGTTGAAGAATGGACAAAGAATGTGTCAGCCCATTTGTCTCAGCCAGAACCATGGACCGGTAAGACCAAATTTCCCATTCAGAGTGATGAAGTGCAACACACATGTCATCTCACATCACATGAACCTGCAGGAGAACCACAATGCTTGGAAGCCGAGATCCTGATGACAATTGATGATTTTCATAAGTGCCTAGGTAGGACATATGATTATCAAGAGAATTTCCTTGCATCAGCCGCAAAACGCCAAAAAGTAGAAGTAAAAATCCGTGAACTCAATGCTGACGATCAGAAATTTTTTTTCCAAAGCCAAAGATAAAGAACTTGATTCCTGGGTATCAACAGAAACAGTGAGAAGAATTCTTAGAAACAAGGTCCCCGAAGGCCAATTACTCAGATCGCGTTGGGTTCTTTCTTGGAAACCTTTGGACGAAGTTGAACAAAAGGAAACAGGACAGACTCGAAAAGCAAAAGCTAGACTGGTTATCCTTGGGTATGAAGACCCACAAATCGATTCGCTGCCACGAGATTCACCAACTTTGGGGCGAGACAGCCGGATGCTGGCATTGCAATGCATCGCATCCCATAAGTGGACCGCCAGGTCTTTCGACATCCGAACAGCATTCCTCCGGGGAAGCAGGCAAGACTCTAGGATCTTGGGAGTAGAACCTCCACCTGAACTTAGAATAAAAATGAAATTGCAAGACAATGAAGTATGCGAATTGCTGAAGGGTGCCTATGGACTGGTGAATGCCCTGTGGTATTGCGAATTGAAAAGTGCACTTTTGTCCCTTGGTTTTGTCATGTCACCTTTTGATCCATGCCTTTTCATACTGCCCAAGAAAAATCCTCAAACCCATGAAAGTAAAATCCATGGGGTCCTCGGGATACACGTAGATGATGGCATAGGAGGAGGAGACAGTAGCTTCAATCAAACCATATCTCTGTTGGAAAAGCGTTTTCCTTTTGGAAGCCAAAGGCAAAGTTCATTTACCTTCACCGGTATCCACGTCAACCAAGCAATCTCCGGAGATATCACCATCAGCCAACAAGAGTATGTACAGGATATTCCACCGATCAATGTTCCCAAAGACCGCAGAAAAACACCTGAATCCCCAGTGTCCACACAGGAACTGCAGGAATTGCGGGGGTTAATAGGAAGCTTGCAGTATGCCGCAACGAATACCAGACCTGACTTAGCATGTAGGTTAAGTTTGTTGCAAGCCCGTATCACATGTGCCACAGTGAATGATCTACTTTCGGGAAACCGCCTACTCCATGATGCAAAAAGATTCTCTGAAACTAGCATAAGAGTACAATCCCTGGAGCCAGAGAAGGTAAGATTCTTGTCCTATTCAGATGCAGCATTTGCAACACGCGAAAAAGCAAATTCCCAAAAAGGTTGCCTCATTCTAGCTACGACAGAAGACGTAGATCAAGAAAAGTCATCCAAAGTAAGCCCACTGGTTTGGTTCTCAAAAAAGATTAACAGGGTTGTCTCCAGTATGCTGGCCTCAGAAACGTATGCCTTGTCCGGAGCACTTGACCTTTTAAGCTGGACCAGAATGCACTGGGCTTGGATGATCAACCCAGCAATAGCCTGGAAGGAGACTGAAACCACTCTCAAAGCTCTGCCAACCGCCTACGCTGTTGTGGACTGCAAGAGCCTGTACGATTTGCTTCAGAAAACTTCCATCCCACAGTGTTCCGAATACAGAACTCTACTTGAAGCTTTAGTGATTAAGGACCGTCTTCGTGAGGGAGTATCAATCAAATGGGTCCATAGCGCAGCTCAGATGGCCGATTCACTTACAAAGGATATGGACACGACGGTATTAAGAACATTTCTCAAGTATGGCAAATGTATTTTACATGATGCGGATGAGATTTTGAAGCAGCGTGCAGACAAAAGAGTTCGACAACAATGGTATAATCAGAACAGTGCGCCTGAGACTGCCATGCATGTTTTTGCTCAGAACCTTGGCTTGTAAGAAGAACCTAGCCTGAGGCGAAGTCTTCAGGAAGAAGTTTGAATCTTGCAATAGAGACAGGGAAGGAATTCAAAGAAAGTGACTCAATCACTGGAACAACGTGACATGCTGCTGAAGTTTTGTACAATCAGTTTTTTATGACATCAAGCTGCTCGAACCTGGACCACATGCCTATTTTTCGTCTTCTATAAAACTTCTCAATACATAGATTTTTGAGGAGTGTGTTTTCTCTCACATGTGGTGACACGGATGTGCATGGATTATTCACTCTGGAGTAACTGTCTCTTGGAAGGGTTCTGAATGTCCCATGTGGGAATCACATCGCTTGGCCGCATCTTTCAGAAGGCAGAAGGCTCAGGCGGGCCACCAAGCTGGGGGCTTAGGTAGGCCCATTTGTTCCCGAGATTTCGTGCGGCGCGGCAGCCATAAAAGATTCGGTGGGTGCTCAGGAGGGCACATTGATTTGTAGGACCTGGGGTCCCCTCAACCTTTAGAAGTCTGGAACTGGGAGTCCGTTGCCAGTGCAGCTGAGTCTGCAATATATATATATATATATTTATTGATTTATTTATTTATTTATATCATGTCTTTCTTGGCAACTGAAGCTGTGCAAAGTGAATACTTCCAAGAATTCCAGGGTGCACACTGCAGAAGACTTTGGGCTTGAAGCAGCGCCTTACGTTTACAAAATCACAAATGTCAAGTCTTCAAAACAAGCCCTTCGACATCCAGACTCTGTGCAAGCAATTCAACACAGATCCTCCAACACAAGCCCTTCACCTCCCAAACCTTTGAAATTGTTTGCGAGACTTCCGCTTTGATCATCAAGAGTTGCATTAAGTTGACGGGAGGATGGCATACGTGCAAGCAAAGAAACATCATATTGAGACCCCCACCTCTTCCATAGCCACCAGATCCGTCAATGGTGGCGCGCCTACATCTGAAAGTACGAACAGTGCTTCAGCCCTTCAATGCAAGAAGTATATATACTGTCCTACGTGCTGTCGTCTTATGTCATTCTGTGAAACGAAGCTGCCACTGATAATTCAATCATGGAGGGCCACTCCTGCTGTGGTTTCATTATTCTCAACCACTGGATAAAGGTCCATCTCTTTTGGGCACAGGGAAGAACAAGGAATTTACAGTAACCATCAGTGACATAGTAACCATGCTATGGGATACTTTTAGTAGAAACAGGTGCCTTCCGAGGTTGCTCACATCAAAAAGTCAATGCAGGCTGCTACCTCCGACTGGTCTCGTTTATACACTCCAGGTAGAGCAGATCATAGTGTCCCGGTCTGAAGCCAATTGAGCAAATTAGGATGGACAGGGACAGCAGGGAGCAGGAGGTGGAGGAGTCGTACATGCAGTTGGAGCTTGCTCGAGAGTTTGGCTCTTTGCAGCAGTGATTGGAGCCCTTGATCCGTTCTCCTCCCCCTTCCAAAGTCAATTGAGCTTCCCAACCGAAGCTGCACGTGCACGGTAAAATGATCAGAGTTTCCTGCGCATGATGATTGAAGGACACGCAGAACAGCCAAACGGTGTCATTGAAGAAGCAGCTGGGAGCCATTGAAACATCATGTTCAATGACAAAAAATCGAAGCTTCTGGATCTTCTGGTCCTTCGCCGGGAGGCTCGTATGATTCGAAGACCAAGCCTGACTGTTCTGTCCTGTTGTTCGACATTTTGCATATTGCAACTGTAGCAATCGAACCTTGAACACACTTTCGTCCCAGATACTCGTTTCCGTCTCTATCGACTTTCAAGCTGGAAAACGTCTCTTCCCCGTCTTGAAAGCAGTACTGTATGACCTGTTCAACGTTCTGTCATTTCCATCTTGTGCACAGCATGATGTTGTCAAATTCCCTTGCAACAGCTTGTCAAGGAGTAGTCAAATTTTCAAACACAGAGAGAGAGAGATAGAGAGAGGGAGTTAGAGAATCCAAAGAGTACTTGCCGTTGCGTGTACCTAGCATGCCCTAGTTTCAAAAGCGTTTCCTGTTTGAAGACCCTCCTGTCTAGCAGTGCCAGCTTCAGGCCAATGTCCAACGCGCAAACCAAGGCATTCATAACCACCTGTCAGTATCCCACGATCCAACAAAGAATGTCTTTGCTACATACATAGGGACATAGGGATACGAAATGACAGAAACCTCACAGGTAGATTGAACAAAGCCTCGCATTGGCACTGCCTTTGCTCCCTCTATACTGCCTCTTTGCTTCGCAGAATCACTGAGGTTTCCCGCTGATTCTGCTTCAACACCCATAGGCAGAACTACCTGCATGCTAAGCATTTGGAAATGCTGTCAGATACTGTATCTTGCCATTTAAAAAAGTTGCAGACCAGCTGCCACACATACTTCCACAACTGGCTGACATGTTGAGGTGGGTAGATTGTGATCCACAATTGAAAAACGAAAGCCATTAAAAGGCTTGTCTCCATACCTGCTTCCTGCACCTTTTTGCAGTCAAAGAATTTCAAGGATCCGCGCACCGTGTTGCAAAAATCTTCAGGCGATCCCAAGCCTACCGAATGCAGCATTGATGCGTCAAGCCAACAACCAAAGTGAAAGCAACTCGCACAGCCAGAAATTCTTCGATTCCATGTGACTCCGCAGCGAATCCTTGGAGTTCAAATCGGCTAAATCCAAGTTCCAACAGCTCGTGGAAACGAGGTCACAAATGGAAGACAAGCATGAACCTGGAAGAATTGGATTTTGGGTTACTAATGCTACCTAGAGATGGCCTGGTTTTAGAAGCACCAAGGTATTCGAAACTGCATCATGGGCCATGGGTCTTCAATCTGCCTTGAACCTCACAAAGAGTGCGAAAATCGATGCCACCACATAGACTGCAGTCATCAGCTCTTGCAATGATACACCTCAGACGTTCAATCGCACGGCTTTCACCAGGTTTACTTTACACATGTCCAAAATGCAGCGATGAAAGGATAAACCGCGGAGTGCAGGATGCCGTATCTAGCATGAATAGCATGTCTGTACCAACTAGTGTTATGGGTCCAGGGCTTTGTGGTGTCTATTCCAACCATCTTGTCCGGTAATCTTGCACGTATCGTGTCCCTGGGCCCATGCTGAGCAACCAGTTTGCGAATGGCGCGGATGCATGCCTGGTCCTTGGCACCGCACCATCCACACAGGATCCACACAGGCAAAAGGTTCTGGACGTTGATCATTTCGAAGATTGCAGAAACGTGCAGAAATGGTAAATGCAAATCGTATCAAATCGTAAAGTCAGCAATAAGAACAATCTTAAGGGATACCGGATATGCTCCTGTCTGCTGGATAAGAAACAAAGACAATGGAAGTTGAGACCCGACTCGACTTTGCCTCTGGGCTGCTAACTATTCCATCTGGAGACTTGTCTTCGAAACTAGCCTGGGTACAGCGTAGTAGTTGTCTTCATGTCCAGGCTATTGCGCAAGGAAGAGAACTACCCCTTTCGCGGCTTCCAAGCCCAAATTCATAAATATTGTGCATTAAAAATGTTAGCATTTCAGGCCTCGTGATTATTCTCTGGGACGTCCAAATCCAAATTTTGGTCATCATGGCCACATCTGTCTCCGCATCACCCTTTACGACCCCCTTTGCATCCCTTTGCCTGGAATATGCTTGGTGGCACAGGTTCCCCAGAAGTCACTGCTACATACTTCTACCACTTTGCACTGAATTAGTAATTAGCTGAGAGGAAGCGTTCCTCGTTGGGTTGTTTTCGGCTAAATGCTACTGTTGGGATACGAACTGTACGTTGCAGTCAAAGCTTTGTGTTTCCCATCAGTCATCACTATCATCACTACAGACAATTACAATACAAATTAATACAAATTAGTCATCAGAGAGTCATCACTCATCAACTCATGATCAACTCATGTATCCTTGTATCGTTGCATCGTGTCAGATCGTGTCATATCGTGTCCGATCTCCTGGGATTCATGACCAATAGATCGCCACCTCCGTCCTCACCAAAGGTCTCCAAAGGTATCCACAGATCTCACGATTCTCACCGAAAATAACTGAGAATCTCACCATTCTCTAATTTAAACGAATCTCTTGAGGAATCTATTCTCTAATCTATTCTCTAATCTATTCTCTAATCTATTCTCTCTCCTCTGCTATGCGGTGATTTACTGCAATACCAATCTGTCTTCTTCCACTGCCTGGGCAGAACGCTTGTTGAACATGGTTCAGCAGTTCAGCATAGCTAGGTGAAGTTGCGTTCTCTCTCATGAAAACTCATTACATCTGCAGCAGTGTCCTGCCACGAATGCCCACTAGCCACACGAAAAAGCCTCTCCACCTCAAACAGTGCCCATGAAGAATTGGTCGGCCAATTGATATGTAAAGTATTATGAAGACCGTCCTGTCCTGACAGTCATGACCGCTACGCTTCAGCCTACGCCTTTCATTCCAGCCATCAAGAGAGCGACATTGAATGCCAAAGCCAGCACAGAGGCGGAGCTGGTGAGCTGGTGTAAAAGCAGCAAAATGCTGTTCGCCCAAGGCCCCTTGCAAACTGTTGGTGACCCTCGTCTTCCACTTTTTCCTGCAAGGAGAGGATATGCTTATTCGCATAGACTCATAAACACTATGATACATCAGGTATTCGGTATTCGTCATAGTCATATTGTCTTCAGATGGGGCTAGAAAAGGGGTGCGGAATTTTTTGGGAATCTTTTTTTCTTGTTTTGGGATTTTTTTTTTCGGTCACGGTTTCCTCACGTTTTCCTTGTTTTCCATTACTTTTCCTTGGTTTTTCATTGGTTTTCCTTCATTTTTCCTCACGTTTTCCTCGTTTTCCAGTATTTTTCTTTGGTTTTTCATAATTTTCCTCACTTTTTCATCGTTTTCCATTACTTTTCCTTGGTGTTTCATCATTTTCCTCATTTTTTCCTCGTTTTCCACTACTTTTTCGTTAGTTTTTCATTGGTGTTCCTTCTTCATTGGTTTTCCTCGTTTTCCAGTATTTTTCTTTGGTTTTTCATAATTTTCCTCACTTTTTCATCGTTTTCCATTACTTTTCCTTGGTTTTTCATCATTTTCCTCACTTTTTCCTCGTTTTCCAATATTTTTTCTTAGTTTTTCATTGGTTTTCCTTCACTTCCCTCACTTTTTCCTCGTTTTCCATTACTTTTCCTTGGTTTTTCATCATTTTCCTCACTTTTTCCTCGTTTTCCAATATGTTTTCTTAGTTTTTCATTGGTTTTCCTTCACTTCCCTCACTTTTTCCTCGTTTTCCATTACTTTTTCTTTGGTTTTTCATCATTTTCCTCACATTTTCTTTCCTTCCTCAATAAGAAAACAGGAAGGGGGTATGGGGGAGAGGGCTGAGAAGGAGCAGTAGCGTCCACTCAGAATCAGCTAAAGCGTCTTCCCAGGCAACCTTATATACAGATATATAGATATATAGTGGTATATAGATATATAGATATAAATATGGATATACATGTAGATAGATATATATATATATAGAGATATAGAGATATTTATATAGATATATATATATATAGATATATAGATATATAGAGAAATATAGAAATATATAGAGATATATAGAGATATATAGATATATATATATATAGAGATATAGATATATAGATAATTATATACATATATAGATATATAGATACAGCCATAGATGTAGATATAGATACAGATATAGATAGATATAAATAGATATAGATAGATATAGATAGATATAGATAGATATAGATAGATATAGATACGTAGATATAGATAGATATAGATAGATATAGGTATACATGCATGACTAATCATGACTATATGCATATGTAGATCAATGTATTTACAAGTGTAATTAATATATCTGCAGGGTTTGGTTTTAGGGTCTATTTAGGGTTGGTTTATGGTTTATTCTAGATTTGTTTAAGGTGTATTTAGGGTTGGTTTTAAGGTTTCTTTAGGGCTGGTTTAGGGTCTGTTTAGGGTTTGTTTAGGGTTGGATTAGGGGTTATTTAGGGATACAACATGTACATACAAATAGCTATACTTATGTGGACGCATATGCATGCACATGATTATTTACAGTTTATTTTGGGATACAACATGCACATACAAATAACTATTTTATGTGGACGCATATGCATGCACATGATTATTTACAGTTTATTTTGGGATGAAAGCTGTGTATATAAACAGCCATATGTATATATATAATATATATATATACAATATATATATATAGTCTAACCAAACTAGTGTATTGAAATGTGTGCAAGTTTGAATTTAAATAAAAAAAAGCGGGAGGGGGGGGATTGGGGCGGAGGGCGCAGCGCCTCCCCCCCAAAGCAGATTGGAAACACCTATTTTCACGTGCAAGGTGTTGGGTTGAATGTGATACTCAAGGTGTATATACTACACGACATGCACCTTGGAAACATGTGGAATGTAGGTTAAGGCACAACGATGCACAATAGTTTCATTTGATGTTATCATCGAGTTGGTTTAAGATCTCTCTATATAAGGTTTGGTTCAGGGTTGGCTTGGGGTTTGAATATCATCCGGATGATAATGCAAACCTTTTAGATAGATATAGATATATATACATATATATATAGATTTAAAGATATATAGATATAAAGGTATATAATATAGATATATAGAAATATAGATATATAGACATATATATATATATAGAGATATAGATATATACAGATATATTGATATATAGTGGTATATAGATATATACAGATATAAGTATAGATATAAATATAGATATATATATATATAGATAGAGAGAGATATAGAGATATTTATATATATATAGATATGTGTATATATATATAGAGATATAGATATATAGAGATATATAGAAATATATAGAAATATATAGAGATATATAGAGATATATAGAGATATAGATATATAGATAATTATATACATATATAGATATATAGATACAGCCATAGATGTAGATATAGATACAGATATAGATAGATATAAATGATATAAATTATAAAATAGATATAGATAGATATAGATAAGTAGATATAGATAGATATAGATAGATATAGATGGATATAGATAGATATAGATAGATATAGATAGATACAGATAGATATAGATAGACATAGATAGATATAGATAGAAATAGATAGATACAGATAGATATAGATAGACATAGATAGATATAGATAGAAATAGATAGATACAGATAGATAAAGATATAGATAGACATAGATAGATATAGATAGAATCAGGTAGATAGTTAGATAGATAGATAGACAGATAGATAGACAGATAGATAGATAGATGATACTCAAGGTGTATCTAATCACAACATGCACCTGGTGAACATGCTTCACTGATAGATTGATCGATAGATGATAAATGAGCCATAGGAGCGAGGAGCTCTAGGAGCCAGGAGCCATAGAAGCCATAGAAGCCACAGAAGCCGCAGAAGCCACCAGGAGCCACCAGGAGCCACAGAAGCCACAGAAGCCACAGAAGCCACCAGGAGAGGAGAAAAAAAAAAATACCAAAAAAATAAAAATAAATAAATAAATTACCCTCCCTAGAAAAGGATCAGCTAGGGCAGCTAGGGGGTGCATGTCGAAACAAAAGCGACCAATGCTCTCAGCGTTGCAAAGGCGGGCGGGTCTGCACGTGACTCCTCAAAGCTAAGGTTCTTCAGCTTGCAAACCTTGGCAAAGACTTGAAAAGGGTGGAACAAACAATTGAAGTCCAGTCTTTGCAAAGAAGAACCCTTGCCTTAAAATGCACTCCAACAAATGACAAACCAAATTTATCAAGCCGGTCAATCTGAACTTCATATATCTTGCAAATTCTGGTGTCCTTCCTGTAAGGATATCAAAAAGTGACACTTGCAAAAAGAAATGCAGACCCAGCAGGCATTGATGTCAATATGAGAAACGTTGCATTCCTTGTGATGGTGTCTACTAAATCTGTCTCTTAATTTCTCATCCTAGGAAGCTCCAAAAAGTTCTTGAAACTAGAATGAATCGCAACCAAGGACGTAGTTTCATCCTGTTTGATCTCAGCGCCCAACCAAGGCAGATGCAGCCACTTGACGCTTTGAATCGGGAGCAGCAATCTCAGTGATCGAGATTGGCATCAAGGAACCACGAGGGAAACAAAAAGGAACCTAGACATTGACCAGCACTGATAGGAGAGGCACTCTACAATTACGAAGGGACCTGTGTCAAGAGCCAACAAGAATCCAGGAAAACAAAATGAAACGTCTAAGGCTTGAATCGTGAAAGAAACACAAATGCTCGTTGCTGCCAGTCACAAGAGTGAACAAAGCACAAGGAGAAAGAAAGGTGTGAATAGCAGGGTAAGGGATTCTTCTAGTGGTTCTGCTCCTGTGGAAAGAAGCAACAGTATGCAATCTATTCCAATCAACGCTGTGCTTGTATTCCATACCTATCATTATCAATTACGATAGTGGCAGGAGGCCACATGGTCCATCAAGCATTCGTCAAGATCTCCAAGCTCAGGCACAGCGAATTTAGCGGTGGCATGTTGACAATCCAAACTCTGCAGGCCGCTCAGCATTCTCTAGGCTCCCAGGCAATTTGTTCTAACAAACCGAAGCCAACAGCACGATAGAAGCCTTGGACAACTTGCTTTGCCTGACGAAATTGTTTTATTGCCATGTGGATTCTACAAGTACAAAATTCGCAGAAGTGGTCATTGATGCTATTGACTACCACTGTTCAGACTGCAAACATCGAGAGTGGGAACTTTCAGAGTATGCTTGGACTTTGGTCTTTGCAAAACAGGCTTTCCTCAATTCATAGCCCAGTATGTTCCAAGAATAGAACCTCGCTGAGGCCCATTGATTGGAGCAATATAAGATAATATAAGAATATACCAAGGGCATGACAGTTGCCGTCTCCTCGGACTCTCCTCCAGCCCTTGTACCTGCAAGTATCGCTGCTGATTTAATCCTCTATCAAACAGATTCAAGCAGTATGTTTGGATTTGGGCAATCTCTCCTGAGGGACAATGTATAGACTGTATAGACTGTTAGACTGTATAGACTGTATAGACTGTATAGAATCTGAGGATCAGACTCATGCTCTATGAGACCATCCACCTTTTCTCCAAAGCTCTTGTTGAACCTCATTTGGAAATGTCTGGAAAGGCTCTCTCTCCACTCACCATGGCTTCAAGGCTTACCTGCACACGGAATAGTCTCCTGTCCATCTGACACAGAACACATGACCAAGGAAAAACTGTCGGATTGAAGAATCTTCGTTCTTGTCCTTCACAGGTATCAGTAGTAGTGTTGTAATGAAGTTGTAATACGTTCTCCAGACTTTCTCATGTTCCAAGGCCCCTTTCAAGAAGTTTCAAGACAAAGCATTCACATTGCGCAAGTTTAAGCAAGAAATCTGAGGCTTTTGCTTGAATTCATCTTTCAGTGTGCCTCCACACACTCCACACGTACAAAAAAACTGTTGGAGCGCTGAGAAACGAATGGAGCAATGACATCGAAAACCTCACGACCTCCACGTACATTAACCGTTTAACCATCGAAATTGCTCCAAGTTGCTGAGCGGCTCAAATTTGCCAAGGTTTGGCAGCTGCGAGCTCTGCAGGGATGCCTGCATTTGCTCAGCATAGCCGGAAAAAACAAAAACCAAAAAAAACACAGAAACAGCACAAGCATCAAAGTGTCACACTATGTCACACCGCGTCACACTGCGTCACACTCCGTCTCACTCCGTCTCACTCCGTTTCACTCCGTCACACCGCGTCACACTGCGTCACACTCCGTCTCACTTCGTCTCACTCCGTTTCACTCCGTCACACCGCGTCACACTGCGTCACACTCCGTCTCACTCCGTCTCACTTCGTCTCACTCCGTCACACTCCGTCACACTCCGTCACACTTACACAATTCAAACAGATCAAACAGATCAAACACTTTGCTTACACTTTACTTGAATGCACTTCACTACTACCGAGCCTCGACCTTGTGCAACGGGGTCGAAGGGAAAATAATCGCAACATATTGATCTCATTCTCTTGTATAAGCAAGAACTTAGGCAGTCATCCCCTTCATCTGAAGCGCTCTGCCTCCATTGTGTCGCTCCTTGCAAGTCTGGATCTTGGAGCAGAAGACCTTGCTGTTCAGGACCACGCAGCGACAGAGACCAGAAATCGCCCGTGACCCAACACAAACCACATCAAACCATCATCCAAGGACCACCCCCTCTGATGATGGTATGACCATAGAAGCCTGATAAGCGATATGACAAATCATGATGCTCAGTTGACCAGGTTGTTTCGGCTGCATTTGCGATCGAAATAAGAGCAACGAAGCAAAGCACAGGAATGACGAGAGTATTATTGCTATAGGTATTGAAATTGACGATCAAACATTTTGAGGACATCTGTGTGCCCCTTTTAATCAAGTTTCACGTTTGATACTCAGAAAAAAATGAGACAAATATTCTATTCTTCCAGAAGCACTTGCAGAAGTCCACAATGGACATAGTGCTTTCTACAGTATATATCTCAGTCTCGTAAATTCTTAGAATATATCTCGCAGAATTACATACAAGATCTTGCTTTAGGCTTCCAACATCACAGTCGCGTCGTCGGTCCTCAAGCTAATGTCCTCCTTTGGCACTTGTGGCATAGTCAAGTCATTCTTCAGCACTGCCGTGCCTTGATTTGGGCAGGGGGGAAAGCAGGTCTCTGAGAACGGTTTCACCCCGAGCTTGTTCAATTTTGTTTGGCAGTTTGACGTTGCCTCTGCAAACGGACACGGAACCAAAGATCACCTACATAACGCATGCAAAAGCATCTGGCCAGCAGAACCAAAGATGTGAACCAAAAATCAACATTTGTCTCCCAGCATCTTCCTGGGTGTCCCGTGCTAAGCTCTTCTTCGTAGCTGTCGGTTTCCAAAGAGGAAGCAGCCAAGACGGTGGCTCCAAACGCAGTGCTGGCCACAGCTGGAATTCAGAATTCAGGACATGGGAACAAACGATTAGTTTGCAAGGTTTTCACTATACAAAATTATGAAGTTGCCAGTGGGAGGGATGAGTAAGGGCAAAAAAAGAATACGGCATACGAAACAACCTAAGTTTTTTTCGTCGTCGTCGTCGTCACTCAAGTTTGACTGACTGCAGGATTCTTCAGAAGCCACTCGCCCCAACTGTCCAATTCAGGTACTTTTGGCTTCATCTGTACATCTCATGGATAGATGCCCAATACATTACTAATTCCTTTCAGAAACACAAATCAAGCCGTTCCAAGCATTGTCCCTCACTCTGACACATCTCCAGCTGCAAAGAACTGCAAGATCAAACCTAGTCATCTCTGTCATCGCTGTCATCGCTGTCATCACTGTGAGCGAAAATGTTTTCCAAGTGGTTTCTGATTCCTCCGTCAAAAAGCTCCCAAGCTCTCTGTCTCCCTCTGCCCAACAAGATTTTTGAGCCTCACTTACAATAACGACTAAATCTGCATGAGGCTTGTGCTCAAAGTGTTCATGTCAAATCAGATGATCTTTGGCCGTGATTTAATCCACAGAACCCTAAACTCACACAATCACGAGTTGCATCTCCATGTCTTGAACCAATCAGAGTTCATGTCCAGGGAGAGGGCTGCAAGGTTGTCCCGCTTAGAGAGAAAATACTCAAAGATGTCCACTGTATATTTTGCAAGTGGAGGCATGCTGAAGCGGGCACCTTTCACATGTAAATATTTCAAACCCAACGGAAAATCATCGCTAGACCAATTCGTATGTCTTTCTGCAACCACTGACGACAAGCATCTTAAATTTAAAAGTGAATCCAGAGCACTCCAAACGAGGACACGCTCCATTGTGTCAAGATTTAAGGACTTGAGCTTTGGGAAGGTGTCGCGAAGAAACGCTGAGTGAACTCATCTCATCGTATTTTGTCTCTTTTGGCAGCTTCATTTGCTGCCTGACCCGACCCGGACTGGGAAGAAAGCAAACACTCCAAAGACTAAATCTCAGAAGGAAGCGCGCGAAAGCAATCTCGTCGTGCTGATCCAGGATATTCGTTGGATATTCCGACATGCCTGAATGTGCCGAGGTATTTTTGTGTGCACGCTCTATCCGGAAACAATTGCTATGAAGCTTTTAGCTTGGAGTGGTATTTTTGCTGTAGAATTGTGTGTTCCACATTTTCGAAAAGATCATAGAGTCGGCGAGGCTGCCAAATATGGGTCCGACATGTCCGACATTCCAACATAGGCCCAACATAGGCCCAACATTGCTACAAGATGGGCCCGAAAGGCCCAAAATGGCCTTAACATGCCCTAACATGGACCCAACATGTCTTGCACAATTTGTCCTATTTGGAAGCATGCTGAGGGTCTTTTGAGCTTGCATTGGGCCACGTAGGATCTCATGTTGGGCCGTTTAAAGTTGGTTTTGGTTTGATGTAGCCTGGTTCGTTGGTTCGAACCCTTTTCCTCACATCAAAAATAGCGCAAAAACACACATAGGCTACATGGGGTCAACATGGCTCCGTTGGGCTCAACATGTGTTAAACGTTGCCTCAAAACCAACAAAAGAGCCCAACATAGGCCAAAAGCAAGCGCACACTAGGAGGATCTTAGAACTTTGTAAAGTCTGTATTTAGGATATCGTTTATATGTCTAGACTTGACTGTTAAAAAAAAAAAAAACATAATGGTGTTTAAAGGACAAAACCTTACAAACAGGCTTTATTGTCTTTTAACTAGTAACTAGTCTTTCTGAGAGAGCTCACACGTTCTACCGTGAGCAAACAATTCCAGTGCAGGCAGTTGTCGCCGCGAAGCGACCAGAATGTACGAGAAGAACAGATTTACAACATGTGTATGAGAATAGAAGCAACGCTCCATCAATTCTGGATGTCAGCAGTTTGCGTCTGTTGCAGTTTCCGTGCTTCTGGGAATTGGTGAAGAATTGCGACATCACATCCACTTGGATTTTTGAAAGCGCATTGCCATAGCCGCCAAATCCAACCGTTTACGTTGGAAACAAGAGATTCCCCAATCTCATCAAACCTATTTTGCAATATTTTGCACAGCTCTGCACCTCTGAAGCTTAAACCCGGCAGCGTCCCATCCAAACTGTGTCTCAAATATATGATAATCCCAAAGAACATCCAGAACAGCAGAAAAAGAGGTGTCGTGTTACGTTGCTTTGGTAACCCAAAGGGTAACCCAAAGGGTAACCCAAAGCCTATTGATTTGTTGATGCACCTGGTTGGAAACCTTATGGTTTTGCGCGAACCTTCTTGGGAACTTTCGGACCCTAGAAACCTTGGTTGCGGGAACCTTCAGGGCTTCCGAATCTCCCATTTGGAAACCTTGGGAACCCTGCTTGGAAAAACAGAACGACAGTCAGGAACTCTTTCAGAAACCCGGCTTTGAAGGCACTCCCTTGGCCAGCCACACTGGCATTCCAATGACAACAGCTTTGATCAGGAAGTACGTTCTTGGAAACTTAGGAACTGTAGACTGTAGACACTGTAGACACTGTAGACACTGTAGACACTGTAGACGCTGTAGACACTGTAGACACTGTAGACACTGTAGACACTGTAGACACTGTAGACACTGTAGACACTGTAGACACTGTAGACACTGTAGACACTGTAGACTGCTTGTTTTTGCCTTTTTGCCTAGCCTTCGAAAGGACATCATGACTGCCCCTCTCAAACGTGGCCTCACCGAAAGGTGTTTCGGAGAGCCCGGCGCAGAGAAGCAATTGGCTTGGCCGAAATAACCTCAGGTCAGAACAGCACAAGTTTCACAAGTGCTGCTAAATTGAAATACGTGCCCTGGAATTCGGAGTGATGGATCCATGAATTTTGCAAACTGAAGTGGGCCGAAACTTGAAACACAAGACTTTAAAAATTCAGAAGGACAAGGATGCAGCTAAACTCTAGCGACTGACTTCAGCAGGAATTTTGCACACCGGGGAATGCCAGGTATGCCGATGGCGATCCACAAAGTCTCCGGCCCACCAACACTTCAATGTAGGAACAAGTCAATATGTTCAAAGTGAAACTGGGCAAATGCTCATGATGTAGGTTAACTATGGTTAACTGAATGCCGAAGCCGCCCACAAGTGTGAAGCTTTTTAATTCATCACCCGAAGAGGGACTGGCAATGGATTTAAGATATTTAAGGGTGAGTTCTTGCCATCATGTATATCCTCCCCTACCCCCATCAACATCCGAATCTCAAAAGGACTCCACCAAATGATACAAGTAGGGTTCAATCTCATCGTTTCTGGATTACCCAGAAACAGGGGGGTAGAGCGGGGACCCACATGATGCAACCGAACTGCTATGCAATCCGGTGAGCTTCTGCTCAATAAGTGCTGCCAGCCTCAGCACTAGCTCCAAATATCCGCATCTCATAATTTCAACTCACGGAATCAAAATGTATGTTGATGCTGCTGAACATAATTTGCACTGGCACCAGTGGGTGGTTCCAAACTATGAGAGGGCTTGCTTGCAGAACAAATGCACCAGTCCCAGTACAACTACTGTACATACAGTAGATGACCCCGCTTGATCAAATTGGCATGAAATGATGGACCGACCGCCTACAGGCTAGCGGCTAGAACAACAACATGTTCTGTTATGATAGTGTTGCTCGTTATCAGAAAAGAAACGGAAAACGTTGAGTACCAGGTAGACAATAGAATTTGTGTATTTCCAACACAGAGCCGCTGGAATGGCATGTTCCACTCCGCTAAGTCCGAGACCCGCTCATCCTGAGTGGCGCGTCTAGGAGTCAATACCGCTAACCAAGTCAGTCACCAGTTGCTACTGTCAAAAGGGAACTTCCCAGTAGAAACACACAGTGGTGGCCACTGGGTTGCCAAACAGAGAGAAGGATTGGCCAGGCCGCAGCAAAGCTTGAGCCAAAAAAAACCATTCCAGAAGAGCGCCAAAGGGCCTTAAGGGGCAACAAGAGCCCGGAATCCCCTACTTCAGTGCTGTTCCTACCTAATTATTCCCAAATTCTAAAGTGAGAACCGACAGAAAGTTTGTACTGGCATGTACTTGATGAAAAGGAATACCTTGTAAATGAAATTGCGCAAAAATAACAAGGTATAGTATATTGAAGATGTTTCATTCTTGCAACTCTGGCAGTGGCGCTGGCGCACGTTGGGAAATTTCAGGTCCAGCGTCTGCTCAGTGGGGACCTTGGCTGGTGCCAGCTGAAGTTGCGAGTTGTGCGTCGTTTCGGTGCTGAAACCACTCGTGCATAACTGAGGTCCTCGGCAGCAAGCCACATAAAAATTAGCAAAGCCACCATGGCCAAGCTTGCCACCACGACCTGCAATTCAGAAACAAATTAAATCTATAGTATAAATATATATATATATTTACATATACATATATACATATATCTATACATATACATATATACATATATACATATATACATATATACATATATACATATATACATATATACATATATACATATATACATATATACATATATACATATAAACATATATACATATATACATATAAACATATATACATATATACATATATACATATATATATGTACACATATGTACACATATATACACATATATACAAATATACACATATATACATATATACATATACTTATACATATACATATATACATATATACATATATACATATATACATATATACATATATACATATATACATATATACATATATACATATATACATATATATATATACATATATATATATACATATATATACATATATACATATATACATATATACATATATACACATATATACATATATACACATATATACATATATATATACATATATTTATATACATATATATATATATACATATACATATTTATATACATATATACATATTTATATACATATATACATATTTATATACATATATACATATTTATATACATATATACATATTTATATACATATATACATATTTATATACATATATACATATTTATATACATATATACATATATATATACATATATACAGATATACAGATATACATATATACATATATACATATATACATATATACATATATACATATATACATATATACATATGTACATATATACATATATACATATATACATATATACATATATACATATATACATATATACATATATACATATATACATATGTACATATATACATATATACATATATACATATATACATATATACATATATACATATATACATATCTATACATATCTATACATATCTATACATATCTACATATATATATATCTTTACATGTATACATGTATACATGTATACATGTATACATGTATACATGTATACATCTATACATCTATACATCTATACATCTATACATCTATACATATATACATATATACATATATACATATATACATATATACATATATACATATATACATATATACATATATACATATATACATATATACATATATACATATATACATATATACATATATATATATATGGTATGGCTGATTAAGACATGTTTCTTACTCTGGTTCTATTTCATCAAAAAACAAAGATGTCCAAAGAAAAGTGTAAAACATACATTATTGGGGGCTCTGGGGAGGCGCTGAGCATATTATAATATATATATATATATGTAGATAGATGTACATATACTCATGTATGCACATGCATTGTATATACCCATCTACATCCACATCCACATTTACATCTAGATCTACATCAAGATACAGATAGAGATCCAAATATAAATATAAACATAAGTACATATACTCATGTATGCACATGCATTCTATATACCCATCTACATCCACATCCACATTTACATCTAGATCTACATCAAGATACAGATAGAGATCCAAATATAAATATAAACATAAGTATAATATAAGTATAAATATAAACAAAAATAAATAAGTATAAATACGCAGGGAAATAGAAATACAAATACATAAATATAGATATAGATACTAGATATTAAACATTAAATATTAACTATGAGTTATTAGCTATTAGTTATTAGATATTAGCTATTGGCTATTAGTTATTAGTTGTTAGTTACTGTAGTAGTTATTAGCTATTGGCAATTAGATATGAATGACCAGATATGAGATATTAGATGTGCGATGTTCGATGTTACATGTTGGATGTTAGATGTTAGATGTTAGATATTGGATATTTGAGATATCATATATTAGATGTTAGATATTAGACGTTAGATCTTAGATCTTAGATATTAGATAGTAGATAGTAGATAGTAGATACTGACAAGTAGATATTAGACTAGACATTAGATATTAAATATTTGATATCAGAGATTAAATATTGGATACTAGATATACGGATATACGGATATATGGATATATGGATATATGGATATATGGATATATGGATATATGGATATATGGATATATGGATATATGGATATGCAGATATGCATATAGACTATTAGATGTAGATATAGATGTAGATATAAATTTAGATATATGAGATTTAACAGCATCTTCGTTTCATGTTTCCCCACTGCAGATGTATGTTTGTCATTTTGGAGGTAATAATATGCCTTTGAGACGTTTCATCTTGCAGTACTTTGCCTGGAAATATTGGGATGCATTCAATTGAATCCCTCCTGTTCTTTTCAATGCCCAAATCCAACGAAACATGTTTTTATTTAGATCCTTTTTCGCGCGTTTCGGACACATGCAAGGACCGCAAGAAACCATTGACCGGATCGTTGCCTGTATGCCGCTGCCCATATCCTGAGACTGGCAAAATGACTGACAATACGTTGAACAAAAAAAAAAATCACCGTTTTCTACAATGATATACACCAAAAAAAATGGTGTGGCATTCCATTGGAAATCATTTCAATTGAATAGCAAGGAAAAAAAAACATGTTTATTGATGAAATTGTTTTTGGGTGGCAAAAAAAACACGGTCCAAGCGGCGGTGGCACCGTTGAGCAGGTTGGCGATCAACAATCAAGTGTGATATTTATCATTTGTTGACAACACAAACGGCATATGCAAACGGATTCATCCGAATTTGTCTGTTAAGTGTACATGTTTGGTTCATCAATGCTAATTGGCTGTGTTTTTAATACTATCACGGAAAGATGTTTTGGAACCAAAACTGACAACACACATCACATCCTCCACAGACTGTTCGGGCGACAGTGGAACGCACTTTGCGCCGAAATTTGTATGTTTTAAAAAAATCAATCCAGCATTTCAATTTTGCAACGCAAAAGTTTTCGAACGCTGCCGAATTGCAATCGTAATAGAAATGTCCGTTTTTTTTCCATTTTGTTCACTGTGTTTTATTTTGATTTTGTTGATGTTGTTTTATTGTTTTTTACATTTATTTTGTTACACGTTTTTAGCATATCTTTGTCATGTCCTGTTATTTCCTTGCATGTCCAGTTGTGGTTTTGCGCGTTGAAGATCCGCCAACAAAAATTCCACATTAACGTTTTGCCAAACAAATGGTGCATGGACTACCCACAGATCCATTAATGCAAACAACATGCAACATGGTATACATATTTGTTGTTCCGCATCTGCATCGTGGAAAATTGCCACATTCAGCATCATTGTTTGGTTGTACTTTGTACATTGGAACCCCTGCGTCTCGTCGGATGCTGTCGAAGAAAACGGCACCAATTTGAACAAGGGCAAAACCGGTTTTCATGTCCAACTGTTCTCATGTGCATCACGTGCTGTGAAGCATTTTGTCGCGCCAGGTGTGCTAACATAATTTAATTTTGTTTTCGGATTGGATTATCTACATCAAAAATTATCCGAAAGCGGCCGATCAAAATATAAAAAAATGGCCGGTGGAATCGAACTCTTCTCTCGAATTCGACGCCTTTTTGAGAGCTCATCCACAGTCTCCTTCTCCAACGCAATCCATGTCCCTTCGTTGGGGACCATTTCAGCCTTCTGGACATAGCATCTTGTAAGTCTTGGGACTTCGCCTTCTGGCTGAACCCAATGTCCATGCTCTTCAGGTGCTGGGCTCACATAGCGCACGACTTCCATGGTGGGCTCAAACCCTCCTCTCTTCCATCTTCTCTTTCTGATTGACCACCTCCTTCCAGAACTGAGGCCATGTTGGTGTTTTGCCAAGTCGGCTCCACCTGGAAACTTCGTTGATGTGCCTCAGTGGCAGAGGCCAATGGTCAGCTCCAAGTTGAGCCTCAAGCAGGCACTTTCGAATTGGGACTGCCAGTTCGGCCCGGCCATTACCGGGTGGAGATCCGAGAAGCTCCTTGTACTGGCTGACGTCCTTCGTGCAACCATTGCTCCCATTCCTCAAGTTTACTGCACACCAAGCTTGCGCCTATGGAGGTCAGCGACCAAAGTGGACTGCCCTGCTACACAACCACCCTTCTTTTTTTTGTCCGAGCCCGTTGCGTTTCGGCGGGTCTAGGGTCTTGAGGCTTACTCACGGACCAGCGGGGATTCGATCCACCACCGGCACTCTGTCAGCGACACAAGAGTGACGCCATACCAACTGGACCATGAGGGCGACTCTGCTACACAACCACCCTTCAAAGTGATTGGGGTGACATACCAAGTGGAGCAAAATACCTCTAATTCACTCCAGTGCGGCCAAAAGGGGGATCTAACAACAGCGCAGCCCACAGAAAGACATGGCTTTTGGAGTGCACCACACCCCCAAAGAATTTGTGCAGGAAGCAGTCAAAGCCGGGCACCCGTCACATAGGAGTTCTGTTCTGCCACAAGCGCTTGAGGAAGCCATCGCTTGGAACATGGAATACACTCCAAAGCAGTTGTGCCATGCAAGGCTTCAGACCTTGGCCATATGGTCGCAACTGGCAGAAGACCTGCACAAAGATGAACAAGATCTTCATGCAACCCTGCCGAAACATGCAAAGCCCATC